TCCAGTCAACAATGACTTTGCACAGTATTCACTATGACTATTCAAACACACAGGGTGTCAAACGAGTCAGAGGGCTCAGAGGGTGTGGGAGGAGAAATTGGAAGGAAATGGGCTAGTTTGTATCAGGCCCAATTCTAAGGCCACGTGTGCATGTAGGTCCATGAAGGCCTCTGTGCTACCTGATGACATCCAAGGTCAAGGTCAAGGTCAAGGTAACACAAATTAACTGAAAGCTGCTGTTAGGGCTGGAAATTAAGTACAAAAAACAGGCTAAATAACATCATCAAAACCTCTCTCAACTTTGAGCGGTTAATTATGATTAATAATCACCCTGTATGGAGAAGGATTAATAATCACCATGTGAAAAGAAAAAGAACTGTCAATAGATGCCATATTTATCACAGCGACGACAACCAAACAGCTGATCATATGGATAGTCTCTCATTATGTAATATAGGGAAAGGATTAATCATCATTACGATGTGCATCATGGAACAAATTACATGCATGTTTATCATAACTACTAAATACTTGATCGTACATCATTTCCTCACTCTACAACCCGCATGCGCGCATTTACACCAAGACATCTAAAATTTAATTTCTCTCCCCCTTTCCGTTTTCTTTCAAACAAGTACTGATTAATCTGATGCTAATTTTAAAATGCATGAGCCCTACTTGTGCCAGACAGCATAGTTATGGCCACTAGTCGCCAGTTTCCACTCACCACCATCAGGGCACCACGACCCTTCGCCAATCTTCATGCATAGTTTCTCCTCAATGATGGCAGCATATAGATTCGGTTGAGCCTCCAAAATTCTCACGTTTGAGCGACTGTGGATATCTTGACTTTTCCGTATTTTAATCTGCATACGAGTCAAAAGGCTTAGAGAAAGAGCAGTGTAACAAACTATATTTGCGTGGATGTAATTGCAAATTACCAGTTTCACAATTTGGTCATGCATAGAATCCCCGCAATCATAGAAATGGTCATAGAATATTGTGGGTATTCCAGGATGGGTGAGTATATAGGCATATCCCTGCACGATAGTGTTGGATGTTTTATAGTATATTAGGAGAAATATTATAAAATATGCAGCAAGTTGATCAGCCTTTGTTTTGGTTGATCATAAATGATTTCAAATATGATATAACAACACTCAAGACAACAATTTGTGCAAGCATGTTTGCAACAGATGCATATATCTTCTAATAATAAAGTGGCTTCATTTTCTCGAAAAAGAACTTTAAAGGACGCATACTAATCTTTTCTGTGACTCGCAATTACCCTCAGTCCAAACCCCTCAAACGAGAAGGAAAATGCTAAATAGACCCTTGGTTCACCAACATCTTGTTACTGAACCCTATTTTGGTACCACTTTCTCTAAAACTAATTAAAAAGAAGGTGCTGAAGCTGATGAAGATGCCGATAGAGTAAGGACAGCATTCATCCAAATTTAGAATCCTTTAATTTTTCATTGAACGGCAATCACATCTTCAGATGTGTCCCAATATCTTATACTTTGCGGATGGAATTTCCAGTCCTAATTCTAGTTTTCCTACTTTAACACAACTTCCTCAAATAAACATATCAACTATCATCAGCATATATACTTATAAATCACAGGGGCATTGTTTTCAGTCTCTCAGAACAAGAAGGTGCAAAGGTAAGCAACATCAATTTTCACATGTAAATAAATCCTTTATCACGGAAAGCAAAATTATGCAACGGACTGCAACGAAGTGACAGATGATCATTTCAACCTTAACACTTTTGGGAATTATTTTTTTAAGATCATGCCAAGAAGCATGCAAGGAAGATGCATCTTAAGAATTGATACCAGATTGACAACACACTGTTCTCTTAATAATACACACAAATGGAAATGGGAACAAAAACTAAATATGCAAGTTTATAAGAAAACAGGAGGCACTAGGATCTGCAACAAAAAGAACAAGCAAGTCACAATATTATATGTATTTTAGTACCAAGTGTATATAAGCTTTTTTCAGAAATAGATCCTTTTCAAATAAGTGCATGAAGTTTTGTTGAAAGTAAAAGGGTAACACCATTATATCCAGATAACTTCATCAACTGTTACTCGCCTACATCATTCAGTGTGATTATAAGTCCGGTCTCTTCGCTATATATATCAGAGAGTAAAATATATAGTGTAGTTCTTAATAAATCTCCACCAATCTTACTGCCCTAAAAGTGCCATGTCAAACTACTCAGCAGTATCCATCAAGGTTCTTATATAACAAGCAACATCATTATCAAGAAGCCTCAAGAGTTATGACTTGCATGCATATATAAGGAGTATAACTAATGAATTGAAAACCCTTTATCTTATTATGAAATCTCTTGGGCTTATATAGGCCCTCACAAACTTACAAATAGCCCACTTCATATTATTAATATGTCAACATTCCTCTTCAAGATGGACGAAAGATATCCACTAAGCCCATCTTGTCGCATCCTCTAATCATATCTACCGAGCTAAGTCCTTTAGTCAGACAGTTTGCTGCTTGATCCTTAGTTGAAACATGACTTAACTCTAGTACTAGTAGTCCACTGTCCAACTTCTCTTTGATGAAGAACCTATCGATCTCGATGTGTTTGGTTCTATCATGTTGTACTAGGTTGTTAGCAATACTGATGACTGACTTGTTGTCACGCCACAGCTTCATCTTGGCTCCTTGATCCAGCTTCAACTCCACCAGCATACTCTTCAGTCATAGTAACTCCGCAACTCCTAATGTCATAACTCTATACTCTGCCTCAACTGTCGATCTCGCCACCACTGACTGTTTATTTCTCTTCCACGAGACCAAGTTGCCTCCTATAAAGATGCAGTATCCTGAGGTGAACCTCCTGTCATCAGCACAGCTAGCCCAATCAGAGTCGCAGTAACCCTCAATGCTCACGTGTCTATTTTTTCTGGATATCAGTCTTTTTCCGGGGGCACTCTTCAAATACCTCAGAATCTGATACACTACGTCCATATGACCCTTCCTCGGATCATGTATGTAGCGACTCACCACGCTCACTGCAAAAAAGATATTGGGACGTGTGTGACTCAAATAGATCAACCTGCCCACCAGCCTCTAGTATCCGTCACGATCAACTGGTTCTCCAGCCTCAGCATCCAGTTTGAACTTCTGGTCGATCGGTGTAGTTGCAGGTTTGCACCCTAACATCTCTGCCTCTTTGAGAAGATCCATTGCATATTTTCTTTGGGAAAGGACAATCCCCTCCGCTCATCGAGTTATCTCTATTCCAAAAAAGTATCGAAGCAAGCCAAAATCTTTCACCTCGAATTCCTTACCCAGTTTCACTTTGAGTTGGGCAATCTCCTTCTTATCATCCTCTGTAATAATCATATCATCCACATATACCGTAAGCATGGTAATGTGACCTCCAACCCGTTAAAAGAACACGGTATGATCGGCGTTAATCTGTTGGTACCCCATACTTATCGTAGCCCTCCTGAATATGTCGAACCAAGCACGAGGAGACTGCTTCAGCCCATAGAGAGACTTCTTCAATCTGCAGACATTACCCACATTTTGATCTGTGTCGAATCCTGGTGGTATCTTCATGTATACCTCTTCCACCAGATCTCCATGAAAAAATACATTCTTCACATCTAGTTGGTGTTGCTTCCATCCACCATTTACTGCCAGAAAGATCAAGGTCCGAACAGTGCTCATCTTCGCCACCGGTGCAAAAATCTTATCATAGTCGATGCCATATGTCTGACTATACCCTTTTTTCACCAGACGAGTCTTGTAGCGCTCAACTTATCCATCTGGATTCTGCTTCACAGTGAAGACTCACTTGCATCCAACTACTCTCTACCCTTCTGGTAGTTTTACTAACTCTCAAAGTACGGTTCTTCTCAAGAACCCCTAGTTTCTCGGGCATAGCCGTTTTTCACTTTGGGTCCTTCTTAACAACTTGCTAATTGTTAGGTACAGTAATAGAATCTAATGATGCAATGAATGCTTCATGTGCAGTAGAGATGTTAGAATATGATACAAACTGGGCAAGATCCTAACCATATCTATCGGGAGGATTTTTCGTATTGCTACGAGTAGTCCTCCGTACTAACATTAGTGTGGGAGGAGTAAGGAGAGGAATGATATCACCTTGAGAGGAATCTGATGATGGTGTAGGTGTCTCAGGAGTCGGGGCAGGCGTTGGCAAGGGACTTGGCACCAGTGACACTGTAGGTACTATTCCTGCAATCTGCTTCCCCTTCCTACTATAGATAAGTAGCTTCCCATGAACCGTGGGCCTAATACCTTTTGTCTCCTTCTCTTCTTCTTCTTCATTCTTCTTCTCCTCCTCAACCAATTCTCCCTTCCAAGGAATCGATAGAGAAATTGATTTCTCGACATTATTCTCCACATTGTTCATCTGCTTCTCACCATTCTTCCCCTCGCCTCATACTTTCAGTATCGGGCGAGTTACCAACGGATGAAGTTACATCCCGAGTGTAATATGGCTCGAGTTCTCGAAAGTGCACATCCATGCTCACAAACAACCTCTTCTCCACCGGACTCCAGCAAACATATCCCTTCTGAGTAGCAGAATATCTCACAAAGATGCACTTTACTGTTCTAGGAGCAAGCTTCCCGACAGATGGCATGTTGTCCTTCACTAAGCACACACAGCCAAACACCTTTAGTGGAAGCATCCCACCATTATCTCCCCTTAACGTCTCACACGGAAACTTTCAATCCAGCACTCTCGAGGGTAATTTGTTGATCAGCTGAGCTGCTGTCAACACTGCTTGCTCCCATAATGTTTCTGGGACATTCATAGAGATCATCATGCTTCTAGTAACCTCTAAAAGATGTCTGTTCTTCCTTTCTGTTACCCCATTCTGAGCTGGTGTGTATGGACATGTAGTTTGGTGCTATATTTCCTGAACTGACAAGTATTCCCCAAGCGTTCTGTTGGTATACTTTGTCCCATTATCAGACCTTAATACCTTCACCACTGCTCCGTATTGAGTCTGAACATACCTATGAAAGTTTTGAAAACAACCAAACACTTCACTCTTATTTTTCATCAAGTATAATCAAATAACGCGAGAGAAGCAATCAATGAATATAACAAAATACTTGTATCCATTCATAAAGCTTGTGGAACAAGGCCCCCAAACATCTGAATGTATTACGTCAAATGCATGAGAACTCCTATGACCAAAACTAACATAAGAGATTCTAGTAAGCTTTTCAAACTCACATGCATCGCACACAAGTTTTTGTTTATTTGCTTTCTCAAGTAAAGATGGATACAACCTACTTAAAACACTAAAGGATGAGTGTCCCAAGCGCTGGTGATGAAGCATCAATACACTCTCAACACTCATCTCAGATCTTACTCCTGCTCTCTCTACCATTAACACCAATGATGAATCCAGCCATTCACAATCCAGGTACCACAATCCACTACTCCATGTGCCAGTCCCAAGTCTTCGTCATGTCCCCTTCTCCTGAAAGATCACCTTGGGAATGTCAAAAAAAATAATACATTTTAGTTAGAGTATGATAGCACTAATGGACAAAAAATTGACTGGAAAGGAAGGAGCATGCAAAACATTGGATAAAGTTACAGAACCTGTATAATTAACTGTACCATTACCAATCACTAGCTGAAATATACCATAAGCTGTTTGGATACTATCAGCCGATGTTAGGTGAGTATATGATGAGAACTCACTAGCATTACCTGTCACATGTCGAGACGCACCGGATTCGACTATCCATTCTGATGATCTTTTGGGAGACATAGAAGCAAGAACATGTATGTCATCAGTACCTTTGGTCGGATGAGCATAAGTAACAGTGTTGCCGCTGGCGAAGAACGAAATGGATGCCTCCTCAGTCCCACTCCTGTCTCCATCTTCAGCTACTCTTTGTTTCCTCCTGAGTATCTCCAGGAGTGCATGATCCTCCTCAGTAAAGACCATCTCAGCTACTTCCTATCCCTCTGCTACCATCAGATTCGCCCGGTTGCTTGCTCCTCTTTCACCTCGTCGACCCCCACGGTCATTATCACGGCCTTCGAACTGTCCACGTCCACCCGAATCTCCTTCCTTGGGTGGTTTGGTGCAAGCATGTCTTAAATGACCCACTTTACCGTAATTATAGCACTGCCGAGTTTTCCCTTTGGATCCAGTGTTCACAGAGTTAGACGCTGCCAGTGCTGACTTCACCACTGGAAGTCCACCTATCCTCGCCTGCAGCCTAATACGTGTCTCCTTCTGGATCATGGCCGAGACTGCCTCCTCAAAAGTGGGAATCTTCGGCTGAGCTAGCAGCAATGTAATCCTCTGAACAAACTCTGATGCTAGCCCTTTGAGAAACACCATAGTCCTTTTCTGTAGAAAGACCTCTAGCTCCTTGCACTCCGGGTCCTTACAGCTCGCCCGAGGTGAGAAGTGATCATAATCTAGGCACAGACGCTCTAACTCTGTGGCATACTCCTGTACAGTCCTCTCTTTCTAAACTGTGGCGTCGATCTCTCCCTTGATCTGGAACACCCTCAGGTTATTCCTCACCCCATCATAGGTCCTCCTCAACTTCTCCCAGACATCCTTCACCTTCCCGATGCTATCTACTCTGGCGGCGATCGACTGGACCAAAGAGTTGAGGAGCCAGATGTACACCAACATATGAGTGGACTTCCACTCATCTCTTCCTGCCGAGCCTTCAGCCGGTTCTGTCTTTTTTCCTGTCAAGTACCCCTCCAGATTCCTCCCTGCAATGGTGTATCTCACCCGTCGTGACCAACTCAGGTAAGTAGCTGGTCCATCAAGCTTCAGATCGATGAGTGGAAGCTCCAACTTTGCCGGTAGTCTTATCGCGCTCTCACCAGCCGACAACTTCATCAGATGCATCAAAGTTGAGACCTCCGTGGGGTTCAACTTCTTGATGATCTCCTCCATCGATCAAGCTCTAGATCAAACACTTGTTGTGCGCAGTGAAAATTTCGGCAACACTTCTGCTGCACAACAAGAGTAAGATCTTTAATTAAATCCTTGTTTCTCAAAGAAAACAAGAATCGAAAGTGATATATCTCAACAATGTGAGATATACACTCTTCCTCTCATCAGTTCTAGGACTGAAATGTCGAGGAAATCTAACAAGCTACACACCCAGATCTGGATCTTCCACATCACGACAAGATCCTCCTCTCTGACAAAATCAGCAGTGGGAACCACGGTGGCTCATCACCACAGCGACGACATCGCAGCAGCAGCAGGGTTAGGGTTATGAGGGAGATGGCGGCTAGGGTTTTGGCTCTGATACCATAATGAATTGAAAACCTTTATCTTATTATGAAATCTCTTTGGCTTAGATAGGCCCACACAAACTTACAAATAGCCCCCTTTCATATTATTAATATGTCAACAATAACTTCAAATAGGCTCTCAAAAAATGGTTGTGACCGCTTACTCAGGCTTCCTACAGTGCGATCAATTAGTTTTTGATATTAGAAAAGTTACTACAGTGTGATCAATTAGTTGTTGATAGTAGAAAAGGAAATAGTAAGTTAGGAGTCAAATAAAATTGCTGTTCTACATCTAGAATCTATGACATTCGAATTCAATCATCTTCATACAACAAAATATGCAAAACTCCTAAGTCCAGATACAAGTTGATTTCTTTTCGCTCGTATTCTGCAGCTCTGTGAATTTTTCTTGATATAAATATATGTCTAATTATAGTGATTTAATTGTGTGCTCTCTCTCTCTCTTAAAAAATTAGGTAAACATCACATTATAGTGAGTATCTGCAAGTGATGATGAATATTTCTGTCGATGTTTGTTATTGAAAAAAAAAAAGAAGTTTATCCATAAATACACACTATCAACACAATCTGATCCTCAAAAAGTATTGAGGGCAAGGGGAAATGGATTAGAAACATAACATGATTTCAAATATACCATGGAACTAAACTTGATCATCTTGGTCACATCACAGTTCAAGATTCATTCTCCCTTGTGCTTTTAGTCTGACCACTTACAAGTATATTGTTAAGCTGAGCCTATATCACAACATAATAACTTCGGCTAAACATGGATGAACTAAATCAACTTCCAGTTTATAACTGAAAGAAATTTCCGATGTAATGATATTCATTTGGGAACTGAAAGAAATTTCTGATGTAAAGATATTTGTAAACATTTGGGAACTGAAAGAAATTTCCGATCTAAAGATATTTGCATGCATACCTCCATAAGGTGACCGGATGGGAAAGGCCAATGAGCCTAGAAAAGTATGCACTGATAAGTACGATAGCAAATTCAGAGAATCTTGCCATCTTTCTACATTAATCAGCTAAAAGAAAACTCAAGTGCTTGACAGAATTGCAAAAGATGGAAACAATGTTGATAAGATAAACATATACCTGCGTAGACCCTGTATCATGGTTCTCAATAAATGTTACGGCTCTTGAAGGCCACCATCCCATTACACCAGGTGGCTTGTTCTCAGAATCACGCAAGCGCCATAGCTCTCCTTTTACTGCTTCCTATATAGAAATTCTAAGCCACTATTAGAACCTGTTCAAACACCAGACATCAACACAAAACACCAGCTACAGCTTGATGTAACAATGTTTACTGTTTCAGTACTATACCTGAAGAATACCCTTTGTAGTGAAATCAAATGCAGTACAAAGACCTCCTGTGTTGTCTATCCAATTTATAATCCTTTGTCTATGACTATCTACTTGTAATGCACAAAACATTAGAAATCATGTGCATAAAAAGGACGCAAAAGAAAGCTATATATAGATAGTAAAAGCAACATCCTTGTGAGAATTTAGGTCCAATGATGGAACAGATTTTGTTTACTTTCATATCATAGCATTACAGGGAGAGGTAACTATAATCTAAGGAAAATCCTAATGAAAACACTACTAGGAACGAACTTTTAGTTTATGTTACCCTGCTAGGTTCAGTTATAAATTTGTTATACAAATTAAGATCAGAACACCAAATGATAATACCTTGATCATACTCCAAGCGAGAATCAGAAGGGCTATACGCACAGTCATCCCAATATTCCCCCACAGAGAATACTGGCTTTGACTCCTCAACGTATTCTTTTACAAACTTGGCCGCATAGCTAAACTTGTTCGTTTAAGCAAGAGGGACATTGATAATTGACTCAAGTAAAATATCAAAAAGGTAACAAAAGCATTAAGAGTGTGAAATTTTACCCTTTTGCAAAGTCAAAGCGGAAGTCTTGGAACCCAATACTTCCCCGAAGCCATCTTAACCACTTGATTATGTCTTCCCGTACAAATGGTTGAGTATGATCTATGTTAGGAACTCCATTAAAGACAGCACCAGTGCTATTATTTCCCTAAGGAACATATATGAGAGGAAAAAATAGTTTCAGAGCCCTAAATCATTATGTTACCCAGCAAGGCAGTTCAAGCTGATGGTAACATCCTAGTGCAACAGAAGCATAATCCTGCAAACTAACATCTCCAACAGATATCTTCATAAGGTCAGCTGGACAAACTAGCCAACTAATTTCTGCCAAGAAAATAATTATATAAACTAATCGAATATAGCCAGATAGCTGCTCCTTCAAATTGATAAAGAAGTATCCCATTTGAAAGAAGCAAAGAAGCTACAGGAATATCAATTAGTAACTAGAGGAACACAAAACTAGTGACAAAGTAACTAATGAAAATGTTGCATTTAAATAAATTGTTATTTCTAACAGAAGGTTTAGATAGTAAACTACAATATTGCAATTTACTTAAAATATAATAACATGTTCAACGTGCATTTTGAAAAATTTAGATTCAGGTAGAAAGAATATTGTATAGTTTGACCTATTACAAACTGATACAATGCAGAATTTGACGGTATTAGAGATCATATTTTACATTGGTAAGAGAGATACGTTGATTACTGTAACAAGGCACTTCAAGGAAAACATAGCGAGTCAGAACGTTATTTCTACCCAAACATGTGCAACATATATCTGACTAGCTTTAAAACAAAATTAACTATTCAAATGATTATACGCACCAGTCCACCAGAACAAGATGTGACGGCATGTTCATCCCATGACAATGGGATTCCATCGTACCGATTGTATACTCCTCCATGCCCTTTTGTAGTTCCAACTCGGTGGTTAATAACTATGTCTGCAATTGCTCTTATTTTGTATTGACTCATTTTCTGAAGTAAAACTTCTAAGAGGTGCTGGGAGCCATAAGAAGAATCGAGAGAATAGAGATTTTGAGGTAGATAACCTATCAAGGAAGAGGGAAATTTTCAAAATATAAGCATAAAATAGGCACCAGTGATCAACTGCACGCATGTTCAACCTTCTGAAGAGAAAGATTGAGTTGCCGGAGGTAACCAAACTGATGTAAATCCAGACTCAGCAAGATCTGTCATCTTCTTCTCTAAATTCTTCCACCAGACATTTTTATGAGATTCCCAATTGAAACCCTGCTAATAATGGAAATAATGGTGCTCAAAGAACCAAAATATAAAATCTAAGGAAGGAACAGTAGCAAGACATATTTCATGAGGTCATCAGAGTCAGAGCAACCAATTCATACAAGATAGAATGATAGATCATAGATCTACAAGGGCACAACAATACCACCATTTTTTCCGCCACTCACTAGATTTTACTATCAATTAATCTTACAAGTAAAAGAAAGGCTAAATATCAGAACAACTTAAATAATCCCCATAATTTTCAAAATATTAGCAAACCCCCCTTAAGTTTAGTGGTTATCAGAAAACCCCTTTTACCTTTAAGATATTATTAGAAAACACCAACCA